CAGGAATGCAGAACATCAGTGGGGTATACAGACGTGCGACTTTGTCCTCAGTAATGACACAAGATTTTGTCTGTTAGGACAGATGCTGTGATGCTGTCATAAACTCAGACTCTGATTTGATAGCTATGAAAATTACCTGTAGTAACACGTCAAAGGGAACAGAAGCATGGATATGACCAAGAAAGAATGGCATTAGAAAAAACGTTAACATCACGATAATACAAAAACTGTGATACATTCAGCAGCCTGTGTGGCTGGTCAAAGCTCGTCTCAGCTGCTCCTATTTAATAAAATGTTACAGCAAATGTTGGTTAAGGTGACAAAAGTTATTGTTTGTTTCATGAAACTGCTTTTGTTTATAAGTTTTGCTCTGTGTTACTGTCTCTTACAGAATATGCCCAGGTGATCAAGATGTTAGGCAATGGAAGACTGGAGGCATTATGTTTTGATGGTGTGAAGAGGTTATGTCATATTAGAGGGAAACTAAGAAAAAAGGTAATTCTGAAGCATTGCAATAGAGAACAGTGGCATTTTGCCCAATACGTGATTCTAAGAATTCATGTATGTAGCTTGTTACAGAAGTTAATATTCCTATTTCTATCTTAAACTTTTCTGATAGTAAGCTAGTTTGTTCTGTTTGTTTCACTGGCACAAAAACAGGCAGGCTTTGGCTTTTGAGGGAAATTTGTAGTTCAAGAGCTGCCTTTGGATGTGTAATTTCAGAGCAGATTTTATAGTTGCTTATGAAATACGAATTTTTTGCATTCTGGAATTCTGTGTATGTGTGAAGTAAGAGCTCCCTAACTGTAGATAGGAAACTTGATAACTATTTTTAAAATGTTATATCTGAGACTAGATCAGTACTTAGCTCAGCAGGAGAACTTTTATTTAGGTTAAGGCTGGCACTCAGCATAAGAAAATAAAGATGCAGACAGGTTGTCCAAAATCACCTTTTTTATATGTTTTTTTCCCTAAACCGTTAAGAATCGGGGTTTGATGCCCCACTTAGTTCAACCTGTGAAGGAACTGAGTAATTATAGTTGTCATCTCACTGGGTGACTTACCTGAGAATAGTTCAGTAAGGGCAGCTTGGGAAAGTTTCTTTATGGCTTCCCAGAGGCACCTCAGGTGCTTTAATTTTACTGTCCACTTCATTAGTTCCCAAAACACTTGCATGCAAAGCTGATCTGCAGAAGTTGTACCTTGAGGGAAGTCAGGTGTACGTACGTGTTTGTGGTCTTAACTTTGCCATCTTTAGATGGTGTCCCCTCTTGCCCTTGTCAGATGCTACAGCTTTTTTACCTTGGCTGGTGTATGGTGTGGAGGGCGTCCTCTCAGAGAGATATGTTCCAAATAAAACAGACATTCGTCACTGTGTTCATTCTGGGTTGTTCCACCTGTTTGTTTTTTGAGACCAATGAGCACACGTATCTTGGCGTAAGTGTGAGCCCTGCTAGCTGCCTGCATAGGCTGCAATAAGCTGTGGAAGGTAATGATGAATGTACACACAGGAATGCTCAGTGCTGCAGAATTAATTTGTTGCTACAGAAAGCATCACTTCTCTATTACTCATGTCTAAAAGAGGGGAAGTCTCAACTGAAAGACATTTTATCACCAAAGAAATCAGTCTCGTGTAATAGAACCATCTTGTGCATTTAAATGAGCATGTCCAGTTTTACAGGCTTCTGGCTTTGGTTTGACTGATTATCGTAGTCATTTACTAGAAACAAGTCCATTAATTTTTATGTGCTTTTCACTGGTTTTGTCCATCATTGCCTTCATCAGGTTTTCCATTCATTTTTGCCGTTGTGGAGCTCAGTTCACAGAGTGGTGGCTTGATGGATTATTTCTGTTTTCTCAGAAGTTACAACTTAATAACCACCTTGTTGGCATGAAGGTCTTCAAAAAAGTTTTATTTACCTTAGTAATCTCTCCATAACATAGGAATTAATGTATTTTTTACATTAGCTTTGCTGTTAAAATATAAAATTGGTACTTACAGTTTACTGGTCAGAAAGTGAAGTTTCATGTCTCAGTAAACCTGAATGTGCTGTTTGAGTCTTGTGTTATACAACATAAGTTTAATTCCTGCAATGTAACACGTTTTCTCTTTCAGGTTTGGATAAATACTTCTGATATTATATTGGTTGGCTTAAGAGACTACCAGGTAAAAATCTCGTGTAATTTTTCAATGAAGAATATCTTAAAAACAGTTGTATTTAATGTTAAATTGCTGCAGAAATTCCCATCTAGCACTTGAATTTGTCTTTATTTATGCTAAATAATTACTTTTAGCTTCCTTGTATTAAAGAAAGATTGTAATGAGTAGATGACAAATCCTAGTTCAGCTTGTTTTTCTAAATTGCACCCTGTGACTTTTCTGAGTGAAGGTGCTTATTGGCACCACACATAACCTTTTATTTCCAGGTGTAGCTTTTTGATGCTTGCATCCTGTGATATAAGGGAAACTGGGCCAAGCACCAAACATTCAACTGTGATAATCAGAATTTTTGGTAGTCAGAATTTTGGAGCCTTGATGTTTAGGATTTTACATTAAGAGGTCAATTGATCCCTGATTAGTTTCTGCTTAAATTTTCAAAAATGGAATGGCATAATTTGACCTAAAGTAATGCTTAATGGAAAACAGTTGTCACATTTTCACTAGGTAGGTGAATGCTAGTGTTGTGTCATCAGTTATTTGAAGACAGATTTTGGTTCTGAAACATACATTGAGTTGTAAAACTTTTAAGATGCTGTCATTTACAGTATATATTAAATTACTAGAAGCCAGGAATTTTTGGCACTTTCTGATTTGACTGCCAAATACCTCACTGTGTGTGTTTTCTGGAGAAATTACTTTAAACGGAATGAAACTGAATTTCCCAGATTATTGGCAATAGGAGAGAATTAAGTTCTCACCCAGAAAGAATGAAGATATTTTACAAATGAGCATTCTTAATGAACTGAAGGGGAAGGAGGAATAAGAGATTATGCTGTAAATAATATAGGTGCTATTCTTCTGTAAATAATATAGATGTTACTAGTCTGCTGAGCTTAATAGGGGTTTTTCTTCACAGATGCCTAATAAATTCTGATAATTTCTTAATTAGGATAACAAGGCTGATGTTATTCTAAAGTACAATGCAGATGAAGCCAGAAGTCTGAAAGCATATGGGGAGCTTCCAGAACATGGTAAAAATCTCATCACTTCATATTGAAAGTTCATATTGGACAAGAATATTCAGTCTGTCTTGGTGTGTGTTTTCCTTAACTGCTGTAAATTCCTTTTTAGCTAAAATCAATGAAACAGACACATTTGGTCCTGGAGATGATGATGAAATCCAGTTTGATGATATTGGAGATGATGATGAAGATATTGATGATGTAAGTGAACACATCTTTTGTATCATATGCTTGAAACTGTCATCTTTGGCAGCAAGCTGTTTTTCATTGTTGAAAGCAAGTAAAATAATACATAGATGTTCAGAACAGCTCACATTTTCAGGCACCACATCGGAAAATGGTGTGGATGTGTGCAGGCCAACTTTCTGTTCTTTATTCTGTCCTACTGTATTCCTTCAGTTGACCTCTAAGCAAACAGCCTGCTTGAAAACATACATGTCCATACATTTTCATAACCCTTAAGATGCCTAAAAGAAAACAAAAGTTGTTTGATCCCAAAGATGCCAACGACTTACGTAGCCACCTCCATTCAGATGATTGTATATGTAAATGCGTGAGGAATTGCAGTTGTGCAGATTGGTGACTATACATGAATGTAGCTGAGTATGTTCATATTGAAGGAACTGAATGTGTGGCCCTCAGTACTGCTCTCTGAGGTGTAAGCACCTTACAGCAACCTCATGGTGGAAAGCAAAGTAAATAATACAGGAAGGTTGAGCAGACTACTATGATTTCCTTGTGTGCCCTGCATAGTAGGCCAGAAAGATCTCTCTGGGAGCAGTCACAAAGACTGATGGGTCAGCCCCTGTGCCATGTAGGGCAGCTACAAATCAGCCCAGCCATAAACTGCTGATGTAAAGTACGCTGGACACCAACTGCTCTTACAGGGCACAGGTTATGTAGGTGTTTTGGGGAAGTGCATGAACATGTGTGGGTTTTACCTAGATTCCTTTGCTGTTTTAACAACCTTGCTGTCTAATAATAACTACAGAAATTATTGAGGTATTTCTGTTTTTTAAAATAACTGGCTTGAAGTCTTCATTTCTGTTCACATAAAAATCATCTGCATCTTAGTAGTTACTAAAGTTAATAAAAATCCTGAGTTTACAGATTGCCATAATCTGTTGTGTTACTGCTTATTACCAAGCTGTGACACCTGAGCATGCACACTCTTACATTGTAGTAGTAAAATTGTTATTCAAATTATGTTTTCTAAGATGATGCACTTTATTTTGCAATTGAGAGATGGATGTATGCAGGGTCAAGTGGCTGAGAGGATAAGTAGTAACTTTGTGAGCCAGCGAGTTGAGTTAATTGGACAGACTGTTCTAAGTGCATTATGTTTTAGTTCTTCATCTTTCAAGCTTCCGTGAGCTGTGCAATGTATTATTATTATTATTTAAGAAAGGAAAAGACATAAAGAGAGAATATCAATAACCTCTCTGAAGATCATCTAGTTCACCTAGAATGAAGTGCGGCTTCCAAGATCATAGTTAATCATGAAGTACTTGGGAGAACCTTTTATTTGTTGTTTATGTCAGAAGAACAGGGAGGTTGTGGAGTCTCCCTCACTGGAGACATTCAAAACCCACCTGGATGAGTTCCTGTGTGATGTACTCTAGGTGACCCTGCTCGGGCAGGGGGGTTGGACTAGATGATCTCTCGAGGTCCCTTCCAGCCCCTAAGATTCTATGATTCTATGATTCTATGAT